GAAAGGAGGCATTCTGCAAATCTGCTTTAAGTGTTTACAAGTGGTTTCCTTGACTCCACTGGGAAGGTTATCTGAGCCGGCTGTATGCTCCATGAGGAAAGCACGGCACAATCGGACCCTGGACCCAGAATAGCTAGAGCCGAGTTACTGGCAGAGCCAAGTTCTCCCACATGGCCTTGCCAGCCCTGCTTTTTCTTTTTATTTATTTTTTTTTCCCAATGTGCTGAGTTTGTTTGTTTTCTTTTATTTTAGATTCCCCAAAATAGGCCTGTCACATCTTGAGGCCCCTGCACACCATCAGAAACATAATTACAAGACCTGAGTCGAAAAATGTCAACTAAACCCTGACTGACTCAACCCCAAAATCAGATGGAATAGACCACATAACTGTCTTGCTCAGCAAAAGCCAGTGTGAATGTGGAGCCTTTTTGTCTGGTCACTGGGGTCAACATGCTTGTATGTGTAGGACCAACTGTAGTAAACAATGCAAAGGTGTTGTACTGAGCCTGGCACTTTATGTCTCCCTCCCATTCCGTTCCCAGCAAGAGGCCAAATGTGCATCATCCACCTCTGCAGTGATGGAAAAGTGAGATTTTTCTCATTACTCTCATTATTGTGCAGCAACTTTTTTGGAAAAGACAGGACCTTGCTTTTAGTCTCAACAGAACCCCTAAATGTCATAAAAGGGGTGAAATCTGAGAGGACTATGTCTATTATACCGGTACGTTTGTGGTAACAAATGAATTAAATCCAACACTGCACAGTCATGGAAATAGAAGTCTGAGTCATTACAGCCCTCAGTTGGATTTGAACTACCAATCAACACACTGAAGACTAATAGGGTACTTATTCCAAGGAAAAAAACACCACCAACAAAAGACTTAATTAGGTAATGAGGAAGATAGTTACCACTTGCTATAAATGTTCCGTCTCACCCCAGGCTAAATATGTTCAATAGTAAGGGGAATTCCTAAAAGCGTGTCTAAAAATTTTCCATGGGGGGCATATTGGGAAGTCCCATCTCCTTGTCACATTCGTATAGCTTGTTGGTCCCTGCTTTGGACTTAGAACAACACAGGGAAATTTCCATTCTGGGACCATCAGTGATCAGAGAGAGCACTTTGGAATGAAACTGCTTGGAAGACCCAGATGTGGACTCCAAAACAGTATCAACATCTGACTTCTTCCTGCAGGTGCTACGATGGCCAGCCTTGCTCCTGTGGCTCATGGTGGCCAGCCTTAC